ACGTTCTGAAAGGGAAGTCCACTTTCGCACTGTGTTTCGACGTGCCGACATGTTATTGATCACTATTACTTGAAGACAACCCCAACACAAGATCAGGGATTGGGCGCTGAAGGGGGACATCAACACAGATGTTTACACCGTTGGGATTTCGCGATTATCATGATTCTGACATTTTCCCATGTGTCTAAGCTGGTGAATAATTGCTGCCAACAACGTTTTGAAAGGGCAGCCTGTTTTGGCACTGTATTTCAATGAGCTGACATGTTATTGGTCATCATTACTGGAAGGCATCACCAACAGAAGATCAGGCATTGGGCACTAAAGGGGGGTATCAAGACACATGTTTACACCGTTGGGATTTCGTAGTTATCGAAATTTAGACATTTTCCCATGTGACTGAGCTGGTGAATGCTTGCTGTCATTGCGGTAATCTGATAATGGCTATGTCCACGGAGTGTTGTGCCAAGAGGAAAAACGTGGCCAAGTGTGAAAGCAGCCCTAACTAATGAACTAGTCCTGAAAGGCATTACCAGCCTCGATGCCTGACAAAAAAAAAAGAATTAATCAGGGTGTTGGAGGAGAGACCCTTGGCATTTGCCTCATTTTTATCTTTTTCTAGGTTGCCACTTGTACGCAGCCCCGTACAGGTACGGATTCGTACTCCTCTCGTACGCTACTCGTTTGCCAAGGGCCCGTACGAGGTGTTTTTTTTTATTATTTTAAATCCGGTATAGTTTTTATTTATTTTTTCTCAAATTCCAGCATATGAAGACAAGTGGATAAGAAAGGAGAACGAGAATGGGACCCCAGAAATCTGGAAGGTCCAGACATGTATTAGCAAGAAAGACATGATTGCTACTTCGTACTCAGTCATAGAGAGTCATGAAGAGCCAATGATTACCCTCGGAAAAAAGGAGGACTGTCTGATTGAGTCGAAAAAGGTCTCTTTTATCCTAGTCCGTACTGAGGAAAAGGGCGAAGATCAGCACAAACTGTCTTGTCCAGTAGGGATAAAAACAGTACACAGACTTAGAACACTACACTTACATCGGGGGTGGCAGCTCCTGGAACCTTCGCAGCAGGTCCCAATACTGGATTATATCCCGAAGGTGGGTTACCGGGCCCAGGCGAAAACCTGGTCCCTACCCTTGGAAGTCAGTCACAGGTGGGACATGGGAGCTAGAGAAAGATTAGTAAGGAGCAACAAAGTCTCATCTGTCTCACTGAGAAGACTATGGAATGATCTGAGAAGGATTCCATCAGCCAAGTTTGGGAGCCTGGCTTGGCGTCAATCTCATCGGATTATTCCAACACCCAAATGGCAAGCTAATAATAGAATGCAAGTCCACACGGTGTGCTGTAGATGTAAAAAATCTGACGAGACAGCAACACACCTACGGTGGGGATGTGTTGAATCTAAGAGAAGCTGGGTGTGGTGGGCATGCCAGTGGTCCAGACAGATAAAATAATTCATCCAATGATACAAAGTTTTTGTAGTTGAAGGTATCATACAGAACACAAACAAAATAGGGAAGGGTTGGACCTATGTGGCAACAGCCGGTTGTGCTGCCATCATGAATACTATTTGGCAGTATTTAGAAGCTAAGAAATGGCCGAATGTTCAGGAACGACCATTTCGTCATAATGGACATTTTTTATTTTTTGAACGAAATTGAAACTGAGTTTTTTGGCCGAAAACTCGTCAAAACTTGTTGTTCCTGAGGGTCTGGACCCCCTGGCTATACATGGACCTACCTTGAGACCAGGCACCTCCAGGCAGGACTGCCTGGAGGTACCTGGTCTCAAGCTAGGTCCATGTACAGCCAGGGGGTCCAACGTTTTACAAACGCCGGACCCTGAGGAACAACAAATTTTGACGAGTTTTCGGCCGAAAAACTAGGTTTCAATTTCGTTCAAAAAATAAAAGATATCCATTTTGACGAAATGGCAGTTCAGGGGTAAATTTTACTCAGACTTGAGCTTTATGAATTTCGTCCTTAGTGATATCCGAGCACTCATCTGGGCAGTTTGGAGGAAGGCCAAGAGGTCAGCACACAGAAATTCCGTCAGAATATTACCAGTACGTTTTGTACGTAGAGGCCCCGTACGTGCAAGTTAGGTAACGGAGGTCTTTTTCACGTTTCGACAGTGCTGTGGGGAGGCCCTAACCTATGTGGCAACCAAGTCCGCGGATCCTGCGGCCTAGGCCGCCGCTGAGGCCGCGCGGCCGAGTTCCCGCGCGGCCATGTCACAGCCAGGCGGGGGCGCGCACATGAAATCGGCGCACGCGCACGGCCTGTGCACGTCGGCCTCTAAAGGCCTGCACAAAAAAAATAAAAAAATTGAAATTTTGGGGGGTGGCTTTTTGCAAGTAGCAAAAATAAATAATAAAAATACTAAAATAGAAAAAAAATAATATTCATTGATTGATTGTTTTTTATTATCATTGATTGATTGATTGATTGATTGATTGATTGATTGATTGATTGATTGATTAGTGGGGGAGGGCTCCTTCCTCCCCTCCCCGGCACACGCACACACACACACACACACACACACACACACACACACACATACATGCGCGCGCGCATGCGAGCACAAACACACACACACAGACGAGCGTGCGAGCACAAACACACATCACACACACACACACACCCGC